GGACGAAACGTCGGCAACACAGCCGATCACCCCATAAGCGAGACCTTGTGTTTCAGTATGATGGCTGTCTAAGACCAAATGTAACATTAGGTTTCATTGTCATTTATTATTTCATCGATTGTCCACAATTTGTTTATAAATCGTTTCAGTGCTTAAACGAAGTTTTCAATATTTCACTCACTTTTCACGGTGATTAAAAAAATAATTTTATTGTACTATTTCAACTATAAAGACACTCCGTGATTGGTTCTTTCTTTCACTTGTTAGACTCTAGGAAGTGATTGTAACTATTTCGAACAAGAGCTTTGTTTGTGTTGATATACGTTCGAAACTTTGAGTACCTATTTAGATTAGTGACGACAACTTTGTCCAGCAACAAGAATGCTTCTGAAGTTTTTGAAAGGAGCTTTTGTAGCTTTGAATGACACTTTTGTACAATACATTTTTTTTTAAAGTTAGAGAAACAAAAATAAAAAGTAACTGTAAGTGATGCAGGAGTTCGTTTTTTTACAAAAAAGTGTAGACCGGTTAAAATAATCTGCATTTAAATAACTTATAATAAATAAACATTACATTGCATTCATGTTTGTTGTTTGCAGAAAATGTAAGATGTCACCGTGCTAAAGATGTTTTGGCACGAAGGAGAAAAGGCATATGCAAATGATTGTTTGCTATGCAAAGTTTCTTGGTGGCTTGCTAATTAAACGTTGAAGACATTCTCTTCAAACTAAGAAAACAATTCTTTTGTTCGCGTTTTTTCACTTCCTGATATAAAACTTCCAATAGGACATTAGTAAATTTATAATAGAACTATTTTCTAATAAAGTTTCACTCCAAATTCCTAAAAAATGTTTTAAGCTTCAACGAATCGTTAACACTTTTTTAAAGTGCAGACAACACTTTAACGGCAAGTAAATTAATTTAATTTTTAAACAAGAGTGCGAGGAGCTTTATGTCAACACACACCTTTGTTTCAACTCCACTTTCAGTTTTGACTTTGTGCTATCTACCCCATTTGCATCGATGAGTTATACCAATAAACGCATTATTTTCACTTTACTGTCAGCTAAATGGAGATTCGTGGAAACGCCTACTTCAATGCACGAAATTTGAATAAAATTCGTGAACTAGTAGTTTATTCGTACTGTGTCTCTAAATTTTAATTAATGATCTTATAGTACAATGCTTCAATGTTAGGGGAAGTATTAACTCTGTGAAGTGACAAATTTTAATAATCATATTTATGCAGGGATATTCACTGAGTGCTAATATCCAGACACATTCCTAGATCGTTCTGCCATATTGCTATACAAAAAGTACACCTCTGTTATTATCCCTGTTTTAGATTTCTGGAAGTCAGTATTTCTACAGATTGAACTGGGTTACTTTCATAAGAGCTTCGGATAGTCTTGTGCAGAACATAGTTTTTAGAAAAAGCAACGATTGAAGTTTTTCAGATTATTTTCTTCAAAATGAAAAATACTATGCTTTTAGTCTCTTATTCCTACTTATATTCAGATTAGAGAAACCTTCTTTACTCCCAACAATTACAAGCTAATTGTCAGAACCCATGTGTAAGATTTGGTCACTATCTGTTCCATCAACGACCTTTCTTTATGTGTATTCACAGCCATTCAATGGTTCAATAACCGATAAAATAATCTTCACCATACACCAGAAATGTAAACCGACCGATTATTTCAAGAATAACGCGTTTTCAAGAACAACCAAGACTCCGACTTCGCAAGTATTCGTTGTAATCATATCTACGAGTGTTTTAATTAAGGAGGAATTTAAACAGGTAAATATATTGGTCGAATTATCTTCAAGCGCGAGAGTGGTTCACTGAATTCTATTCTTGAAAAATAATATTGAGGTACTATGATATGAAAATTCAAGAGAATCAAAAAATGCCAAGCTTTTGACATGCAAAATGAGCACGTTCGTTCTCTCCTTTTAAATCGTCAACGGGTGGTTATTTGGCGCGCGTCGTACGGAGAACTCACCGCGTGGATCTGTGAATGCATGTAGTGCTCATTGAATGGTATAAATAGAACAAAAACATCAACTTTCGTACTACTTTGAGACAACTATTCAAATTTAAACAAACAAAAGTACTTTTGATACTAATGTACATACTGAAGTATTGATAACAGCTTTTCAATGGCAAAAGATAAATACGTTTGTGGAAACTTGGTTGAAACAAGTTACACCTTTCTCCTGAAATACTTCGAAATTTGGGACACATCAGTAGAATGGTCAATGATAAATGTTTCATATGCGAGGCCAAATAAACGTTTATTCCCCCTTTACGTCGGCAGCGGATGGGTGTGTCGCATGCACTTTCCTCAAAGAGGTTCTTCAATGAATCGAAATGAACGAGTAGTATCATTAAATGCTTTACGTGAAAAAACGGGCTTGAGATGCATAATGAGGAATACCAACAAATCCAATAGTTGTGAGTTGGAGACAGCTCCTCTGTCCTTTTAGGTCGTCAACTGTTGGGTCCTTGGCGGGCGCCAGGCGTGTAACTCGCCTTTCAGAAATCCGTCATGTGACAGAGATTTTTCAAGGGAATGTAATGGTCTCGTTAATTACTCGCAATATTAATATTTAAAAAGGCGTTATAATGTTAATAAAACGACCGTCAAGAATTATTCGGCTTAGTATCTTAAGTCGTTTGAACATGGCGTTCCGCGACGAAGGGTTAATAAATAAAAGTCAGTTGTCGTTGAACTCGTTTGTAATGCTTGCCCGTGAGAAATTAGGCCGCCAAGTTTGAAATGCGCTATGGGGGCAGTTGGACTGAATGGTGATGCAGCTCGGGGACTCAGCACGTAGGCGCCCGTGAACGATGAGAAATGCACGAGTATTGTCACTGATTTGAGTAAATAGAAGAGTGAACAAATAGCAAATTTGAGTTGCAATTGGTGTGGGGACGGTTCGTTGAACTTTTAGGTTATCAACTTACTGTTCTTTGCAATGCTGTGCGTCGATCTTGCCTTCAGAAATCTATGAATGCCAGAGGTTCTTTAAAAGGTCCTGATTAACTCGTTAATTACTCACCCACCAGATTATCAGACAGATTTTCAATATTAACGAAAAGACCGCAAAGAAAGTATAGAGTGTACACGCAACACATATCTAAGACTGTTCTTAAAAACCAACAGAAATGCACTACCTTCAAACACATGAGTATTGTTGTTGTAGTACTTGTTCTGTAAGAAAACAGTATTTGAGACACGTAACGAGCAGAGTCAATATATTCAAAGATTTGAAGATACTTCATGGGAACAGTTAGTCTGACAATTTCGGTGTCCGCGAGACTTGCCTCTTGAGTGTCTTCGCAAGCGAAGCCGAAAACGCACCAGTGTCATTGCATGACGAGGAGAAGTGCCAAAGTCCGAGCTGCAGTCGGTGTGGGTGGGCGCTCAGCTTGTTGGGGCGCTTGAAAGTCAAGAAACGGACGAGTGGACTATTGGATTGGTTTCCTGAAAAAAGTGGATTTGAAATACTTAACGAGGAGATCCAATAAACTCAAAGGTTTTGAAGCGCATAATGAGGGAAGTTCGTGTGCCCCTTTCAGCGAGCGTGGGCCTCGACCCTTAGACCGCCCAAAACGCACGAATGTGAATTATCTGATTCACGAGGAGAGTGAATAAATGCTAAGTGAGATCTGTAATTGTTGTGCGTGGTCACTATAGCCTGTGAAAGATCACAAGCGCACGAGCAGCGCCACTGATTCCGTGTAACTGACCTCCTGAAGACCTTTTGAAAGCCCAAAACGCACCAGTGTCATTGCATCATGCGGAGAGTCAAGAAATGCGAAGTTCGAGTTACCGTCGATGTGAGTGGACCCCTAAGCTCGTCGGGGCCCAAGACGCGCACGAGTAGTGCTTCTGAATTCCGTACGTCACGAGGCTAGTGAGGAACCGCTAAGGGGTGTGCGCCGCCGATGTGGGTGAGTCATCCCCAAGTGCCATGTTCAACTTGCAATTGTTTTGGGTGGTCACTCAGCTCGTCGCGACCCGAGAAAAATCACAAACGCACGAGTAGTGGCGCTAAATCCGTGTTACTCGCCTTGTAAGGGCCATCTGATGGTAATGTGTCATTGCATCACGAGGGGAAATGCTAATTCCGAGTTTGTATTGTTGAGGTGGTCACTTCGAGAAACACAGCGAAGAAGACAAACGCACGAGTAGTGCCACTTAATCCGTGTTACTCGCTCGTAAGGACAATCTGAAGTAGTGATTGGTCACGAGAAGAAATGGCAAGACCGAGCTGCAGTTGTTTCTGGGTGGTCACTCGGGGACCCCGCAAGAGGACAAAGGCGCGAGTAGTCACTAAATCCGTGTTACTCGCCTCGTAAGGGCCATCTGAAAGGTAAGTGTCACGAAGAAGAAATGGCAGACCCGAGCTGCAGTTGTTTCTGGGTGGTCACTCGGGGACCCCGCAAGAGGACAAAGGCGGCGAGTAGGTCACTAAATCCGTGTTACTCGCCTCGTAAGGGCCATCTGAAGGTAATGTGTCACGAGGAGAAAAGGCAAGTGCGAGCTGCACTTGTGGGTGGTCAGCCCGAAAGGTGCCGAAGGCGCGAGCGGTGCCCCTGGGGCGAGCGAGCGCGCACTCACCTCCTGGTGGCGGTGGTGCGGCGAGCGGTGCTTGTGCTGGGCGGGTGCGGGCTGCGGGCTGCCCTGCGGAGGCGTGTGCTGCGCCAGCGCCTGGTGCGCGCTGCTGGCGCTGCCGCTGCCGCTGCCGCCGCCCCCGCACGACGGCGGCGGCGGGTGGTGCGCCTGCGGCGGCGACGCGCGTGGTGCGCCCCGGTGGTGGTGCAGCAGCGCCGTCTCCGCCAGCGTCGCTGGATGTGCGTCACGAACTGCGCCATGCTCAGGCCGGGGCTTTGCAAGGGTGCGACTGCCTCCCTGCCTCACTCTGCCTCACTCTGTCTCTCTGTGCCTGCCTGCCTGGCCTGACTTCAAGGCCAAGTGCTGCCGGCCATGCAACAGGCTGCGGGCCTACAGGAAGCGGCGCGGCGGCCTGCATACTCCTCGCCGCTCCTGCAAGCCCAGGGCGGCGCCGGTGTCACCGCCCGCCCCGCCACTCCCACCCCTGCACTCCCCCTCCCTCCCCTCCCTTCCCTCCCCTCCCCCTCCCCGCGCCTCCCCCACGCCCTGCGGCCCTTCAACCAGCGGAGAACAAATCTGCTCACGTACTCCAAGTGGTCTTTCAGCCCTCCGGCGAAACATTGCAACGTCTAAAGCCTCTTCAAGAAGGAAATGTTCCTAGCTATCAAATCCCAGGATAACATTTTTTCTCTCTGCTTGTACAAAACCTAGCATTTCATAATGTCTGGACTTTTGAGCTTCCACCTTTCCAACAAAATATTACATTGTTATCAAGAAAAAACTGTCATTATATAGAACATGTTCCTAGGCTGGTTCCCAATAAATAGCCAGGAGAACAATTGTGTATCTTAGAAGGCAAGAGCCGTACCTCCATTTTCAGTTATTTTGAGGCTCTGTTATCAACATAATTGCAAGAGAGAAATCTATTTGAATGTAAACGGTAGTAATTCCCAAATTTATTAGCATCCATTTACGTTTGTAATAAGAAGCCGTTATAATAATGTTACAACTAAAGGAGCCGACAGTTTTTCTTTCATCCTGTGAAGGATGTAAATTGTGAATTTTGACTCTTAACCTCTGAGTTACAGAATTTCTGTTTGTGCTACATAACCTACTATAACGTACTTTTCTTTTACCGTACACTGAATTCACTCTTCCAACAAAAAATTACATTAGAAAATCGGTTCTAAATAGAAAATATGTCTACGCAGATACCGAATTCATAGCTAAGAGAACAATTTCTATCAATATTGTACATATTAACTATTTATACATAACGTCTTTAATTTTAATATTCACCAACTTTCAGGCAAGCGTATTCTGAGGGCTTAAGATGGAAATATTGCAAATTCCGAACCTGTTAATCCATACATTAGTCTGTTGGTCTGGTTGAAAAGCGTGAATAACAATAAATTGATAATTTCCAACTTTTTCCAACTAATTTTGGTATTAGTCACCGAACACATGTTAAAGTAAAATGATTGAGTGTCGGTTGTTTTCTGTTTTCAGGTGTATTCTGGCATAAAAATTGCGTTAGAAATGATACTTTGTCTTTATAGATTCAAGGTTGTTTTATGTAAATCACGGAGGATATAGGCCGGGGTCTCGTCGCCAATTTTAGTGACGTTATGTTAGTTGGTACGGAGTAAATGTATAACTCAATAAATGTATAACTGACACTGAGGAACTCAAAACTACCCGCTAGTCTTTCATCAGCCTTCGAAACTTCCTATCAACTGTTCCAATCATATTTATTAGTTGTCTGCTATTCCTCATCACTGTATCACATCACTTATCGTAGTCACTTCGTGTTGACTAATGTTCGCTTCATGCGATTAATGTTCGAAGTACGCTCCGAAGTTTCCCTTCTTCGGAATTTATCCACAAGTTTTGTATAACTTGAATGTTAATTATTACGAATTAGTCAGATACGGATATTAGCCTAACGCATGCATGGTATTCTGAAAATAATGCCTGACAACTACACACAGGTAGTAGTATGGCAAATTAAAGAAATAATGCAAATGAGTGAGACAGAGTTTACGATTTTATAATTTTACAACAAGATAAGTTTAACTTCGCGCCTGCGAACGTATAAACGAAACTACACCTTTTCTCAAATAAGATGTGGCCTTCAAACAGGCATACCTTTGGTAGGAATAAAAGGAAACTTCTATCCACGACTGAAAACCTTTACACTGATATGGAACTCAAATCGTGTTTCGATTCTTATTCTTCGAAGTTGCCGATGTCTTTCCAGCTCCTTTATTGAATAAAGTCGCATTGAGCTACGGAAATTTCATCTTCACTGTAACACTTACACATAACGGTTTTCACGAAAGTATGTTCTATAAGAACTTCAAATTATAAACACAGAAAATATTTAAGAATCGAATTTTTGTGAATTGCGGTTTGAAATTAAAATCCTGTATCAATTTATTTTCATTTATTCAATTGATTGGAATTCAATTTATTGAAATTAACACAATTCAATTTATTGAAGTGAATATTAATGTATTTTAATTTGTAAAATAGTTTCATATTCAATGTTTAGTCACATTCAGAATGACTTACACGTTGTAGCTCTCAGTTCACGATTCTGTCTGCCTGTACTTTTCGCGACTGCCTGCGAACGGGCCAGGGCCTACCAGCAGCGCCACGGCCTCGCGGCCATGGGTTAAGGGGGTACGTGAGGTTAACACGAAGATACCTCTACTCCGTATTCTGGCCTTCCCACCCAGTGAAGTATGTTTTCTTATCGTCACACAGCAATATGTACATTGCAAGGAAAAAGCACACTATAATTTTCTCCGACCGGGAATCGAAAACGGGGTCGCGTCTTGGAAAGCGAGCACGCTGGCCAATGGCCCGCCTCAACATCAGCTCGGAATTTATTAAAACGATGTGATGATGTGTAAATCTTATTGGACCCTGCTAAACGTTAAAATATATGGTATCATTGTTTCTGAAGAGTGAACGTTTCGTGCCGATGGCATTTCAATGAGCTTTCAGAATTTTTCCACGTTGTGTGGCACAAAAAATAACGAATTGGAATCAGACGTTCTGAAAGGAGAGTAATCAATTGCAACATTAAACATTATTTTTTCACATACAATAGCGACTGACATTCACGTAGTTACTCTTCTTCCCTGACGTGTATGAAAAAAACAAAAATAAATTACACATTGACGTTCACTAAAACTACGAACTCGTACTAATTACTCGTACTAATGAAAGTGAATACGGTAATGGCCACCAGAGCAAAAACCTTCCTCGTTGATCCTGAATCTTTTTTTATTGACAAAATAACAACAAATTAACAATAGGTTTCCTCTAAATGCACGTATGTAGTCTCATTATAAGTTGCTTTTATTGATCTACATTAAATATAACTTTTTGATCGACCTGCAAACTCAAAGCTTAAAGAATAAGAGACAATGAATTTTGAGATAAAATAATTTTGAAAGGAAAAATATTACGCTTTGCACTCATTAATAGTATATTTAATTGTAATCATTTCTTTCAATCGTCTACCATTCACAACCACCACTTACAGCTTCATTTAATGTGCGTTTTCATGAAATGCCAGCCAATCTTAGCGCTTCTTTCGAGAACATTCAACTTTTGTGATTGGTTTAATTACGCTGTACATTGTAATATGGAAACCAACAAGTTCATGAAAAATATTACCATTAGATTTATAGAACACAGCCAAATATCAATGTTTTACTGTAATTTAATAGCTCCACTACTAAATATTTCATCCGCATAGTATGGAATCATCTGTCTTTATGTAGCATTTCCAACTGAAGATGAATAATTCAAATAAAATTGCCTGGAGGTTTATTATTTGAGTTTGCTGGTAAATTGCATCTGCTAGCATAAATGTATGCTTGATGAAGCCTTGACGAACCATTATCATAAGAAAACATGTAAGTTAATAATATGTAATAAGCAATAGTAAATTATGGCAGGTAAAAATTATATTTTCAAATATCCTATATTTATTTAAATTTATTCTAGCATTTAGTAGTATATTGTTTCCCTAGTAAATCAAATTCAAATAGAAATGAATACCCTTCCAATGTCTTTAGCATACAATCTAGTAATGACTAGTGATATTTTACTATAATTGTCAATATATTAACATTATTCTAATCTTAAGATTACCAGAACAGACAATGGAAACTTCTTGAAGATTCGACAAAAAAGTAATAAATTCCGTAAAGAGCAGTACGATAAAGTAGTTTCATGAATTTAATCAATTATAAAAAGTTATATTTCAGGTAGCATGAGTCAAAATTAAGATCAGTCCCTTTCCAGAATTTCAGAATTTTTCTCCGTTTGCATCACGATGCACCGCGACGAAAATCTCAGCTCTTCCATTGCATTCTGACATGTCAATTCATGTATTCACCAACCAGGATTGTAACATTTTTAAAACTGATTCCCAATTTTTGAAATGAACCTTTATCAATACATTGTTTCACAAACGAATAGTGACATTAGTTATATCGGTGTCAATATTTTAATATAAATTAACGGTACTGTGAAGAAATGGCAGGTAAATCAGGGAAACATTAATGTGAGTAATCAATAACGTAAATTAAATAAACGTGGAAAACATTCAAATACATTTTGTACGACACGAAAAGAGCAGTACTTTCATTACCTCAATATTTTTTTCGAATTCATTTTGTTTAATTGCCGCTTAATAAAATTCTAATTGATGAAAAGCGATAATAATTATCACTCAACCTCTTCAAAATAAAATGAAATACAAATGCCATTTTCATAAAGGAACTTCATTGCTTTAAGAAACGTTTGAATCATCGCAAGATTTGAAAAATATTCTGAGGAACAATATTTCTTTAAATATTAAATTAATCTTTTTTAACATAATATTAGAGATGAAAGAAAAGAAAATAGTTATTTACGAAATAAGTGTCGTAAAGCATTCGATTACAATAAGAGATTGGAAAAATCCCAAAGGAGATCGTTAAACCGAGTTTGGTAACCCATTGAAAATTGTAATTAGATGTTACGACACGAATATCGTACAACGTTTTATCCACTTTGTAAAAATTTGTTAGATTTAATGTAAAATTTCGTTCTACGCTTTCATTAAGTATTCACATTCTTTCTCCTATAAGTGGCGACACTGTTTTCACAAAGAGAACAATTGAAATACACTTGGTGTATACTTTTCGACATGAGTGAATATAGTTCTGATTCGGAAATAGAAATATCAGTAAATATTTCTACAGAAACATTGTTACCCAACAAATCAAGAAATAAATATGAGCGTGAGTATTTAATTTTTAAACATGGGTATGAAAAAATGTTCATTTCATATCGGAAAAGGTTTTAATTGCTTACTTTTCTGGCAAGAGAGAAAAAGATAAACCGAATAGTCTTTTGCTTTTGACCCATTACTCTATGTTAAAGACCATAATATCACTTAATGACAGCATTGATATCAGTAATTATACTACGTTATTAGCGTTTGTAAAGAGAAAAAGTGAAGGATACGAAACAAAGAAGTCCAAAATATGTTTAAAAGAAGAGAGGTAAGGTACGCCATTACGATTCCGCCCTAGTGCCGTAATGAAGAACATTACCACACTACGGAGGTAAAGAACTTCAATATGAAACTAATAACAATGGCATAATGTTTTACTTTACCTAACCAAAGTGGATAAACGTGCTTATTACCAGCTTACGTTTTACAGCCTTCATTTATTTTTTCACATTTTTTATAATATTTCTGCAGGCTGTAGTTTCATTAAATCACTTTCATTTTAAAAATACAATTTTAAAAGCTTTACTAGTTTGGAATTTATGAATATATAGTTTAATGATCAGTAGCTTTAT